GGGCCACAGAAGCTTCAAAGCAACTAAGTTTTGCGTTGAAATCGAAAAAGGCGAATTTCTAAACTTTTAAATTTTAATCATCAGGCTTTCTTCAAAAAAAAATCTCATGTTTATCGATCAATCGGCCATAGACGATCAATCCTTTCAAAGAAATGTTTTCAGCACCATCAGAAATATGTAAAATTACGTATTTTTTTGAGTAAAGCTGAAAAACCCGAACATATGAAGAATCAAAGTTTCGTTTAGTGTCCATCATCAGGGGATTTTATCAGAATCTCCTTTCGCCCGATGGATTAAGCGACGACTTGGGATTTGTCTTAGAAACTTTTGTTCGAGAATAAATGGCGCACAACCCACAAAACCTACAAAGCGATTGATTTTTGCGTTAATATCGCGAAAATCGAAATTGTAAACCTTGAAAGTTTCATCTCATCAGGCAATTTTCAACAGAATGTTTTGTTAATCGATGGATCATGTTCAATCGTTACGTAGGAATGTCCTCAAAATCTTCAAAAAACTGAAAAAATCCGTTTTTCAACAGTGAAACGCAAAAAAATTGAACACATGAGGACTCAAAGTTTCGCTTTCTGTCCATCATCAAGCGGTTTAATCAAAGTCTCCACTCGCCCGATTGATTAAGCGATGACTTGGAAAATAACTTAGACGCTCTTGTTGAAGAATAAATGCCTCAAAGGCCACAGAAGCTACAAAGCGACTAATTTTTGTGCAAAAATCGCCAAATTCAAGTTTCAAAACCTTGGAAGTTTCATGTCGCAGGCATCATCAGGCCACTTTCAGAAAAATCTTTTGTTAATCGATAATCAAGCGATCATTGAATGTAATCAAAACGGTAAAAAACTGTAGTTTTCCTATTTTTTAGCGTAAAACTAAAAAAATTAACATTCGAAGTCTGAAACTTCGTTGGGTATCCATCGGCAGGCGGTTTTAACACAATCTCTTCTCGCTCGATGRAATTGAAAATTATCTTAGACGTTCATGTTCAGGAAAAAGTGTCTCAAAGACCACAGCAGCTACAAAGTAACTMATTTTTGCGTTAAAATGGTGGAAATCGAGTCTGTCAACCTTGAAAGTTTMATCTCGAAGCCATTATCAGAGAATTTTCAAAAAAATATTTTGTTAATYGGTGAATTAAACSTATTAGTCTTAACTGAAGATTGTCCCTGAAAACCTCGAAAACTGTGAAACTGCGTTGTTTTGCGAAAAACTCATGAAAATCGAACTTATCAACCCTAAAAGTTTCGTTTAGAGACCACCATCAGGMGGGATTAATTAAAAGCTCTTTTCACCCGAWGGTTTAAGCGACCACTTSGGAATTATCTTGGAGTGTCTTGTTCAGAACATTCATCAAAGGCCACAAAACCTACCTAAAAGTGACAAATTTTTGGGTGAAAATCGCGAAAGTTGAATTTCTGAGTCTTAAAAGTTTCATCTCAAAGGCAGGATCAGGCAATTTTTAAGAAATATGTTGTTAATCGATCGATTCATGTTTAATCGTTACGTAGGAAGGTCCTCAAAATCCTCCAAAAACTGAAAAATTCCGCATTTTTAACAGAAAATTCATTCCTCAAGGGCAACAAAAGCCAAAAAGTGACTAGTTTTTGGATCTCCATCTGTGAGTTTGAGGTTTATTTCAACAATCGATATTAAACCATGCCAGTCGGTTGAGTCCTGATGTAAAACGGTCGATTGTGAGAAAGTTTTCGGTTTTGCGGTTTTCCCATTTTGAAGCCAGTGGCAAAGACACGTCTATGCTCGAAAATAGACCATATTTATAAAATATTGCACAATAACTGATGTGTGACCTTCGCAAGCACAATTATTGCTTTAATAACGTTGCCATAACTGGTACTGGGAAGGCTTCGATTCACGTGGCAGTTTCTTTGAAAAATCCCCATTAAGAGCCGTCCGATCGAGCAGATTTGGGCTCTATTGACTGTTTGCCATGAGCTAATTAGGAAGCATGTCGATTAAGGGTCGTTGTGGGATGTGCAAACAAACTCCGAATTGATGTTTTCGTATTGAAATCGAACAACAATGACTTGGAGACGTTGACATTGCCCCCTCATTTGCTCATCGGTACAAAAGATCATATCTCTTATCTCTGGCCGAAAGTATCACGATTCGACGGAGTGATTCGGCCAGTTTGTTTACTATGGTGAGCAACAGAGCCATCCCAGTTGGTTGTTCATTAAAACAAAATTAGCTGATTATTTACGTTGAACCAATATTGAAACAAAATAAAGTAAATTGATGAATTTACATGCTTATTAATATTGTCGTTGGGTAGCCTTTGTGACCTTTATCAGACTTTGCTCGTTATCTCGCTAAACGCGCTCCGGCCAAGCAGCGCAACACTTTTTCCAATTAATTTATTTTTGAATTTATATCTCGAACAGACACGGGCTCTGATGGCGACTTACTTTTTGGGGAAAATACGCAGGCTCCGTTTGCCAGCCGGATATTCTTCATTCCGTCAACGTTTTTCTCTTATTATTTTATACAAAATCGCGTCCGACAACAATGGAAAGTTCGCTTCGATGCTGTTTTCATTGGCGTAGTGGAAG